CCTTTAATCCCAGCACTTGGAAGGTAGAAGCAAGTGATCTTTGTGGGTTCAAGGCTAGCCTGGTCTAACATAGACAATGCCAAGCCAGCCAAAGCTATCTTATGAGACTCTGTCTCAAAGATTAATTAATTGACTTATTTGTGTGTGTGTGTGTGTGTGTGTGTGTGTGTGTGTGTGTGTGTGTGGTGGCAAGCACCAGCATACTTGTGTGGTGAGCACTAAACAATTTGCAGGACCAATTCTCGATTTCCACCATGTGGACTCTGGGGATCAAATGCAGGGTAGGTTTGTGGCAAGTGACTGTACCAGATGAGCCATCTTGTCAACCCTGGACTGTATTCCAAGGGTATTACTCTTGAGGATTAAGTTACTATGGCAAGCAGGACTCTACTGCCTTGGCTTGCAAAGCTTCCTTTATGAGTACTTCCATCAGTCAATTTCTCTATAAATGTGTGCCGTTGAGCTGGAGATAAAGGGTAAACAATCACATTGACCAAACTGTCAAGTGGGGGGAACCTCAAAATTGGATCTTCCAGAGAGTCAGTCAGACAGCAGGTTCCTTAGAATATCAGGTTACTGCTTGATCGGAGTGTTCTGTCAATCAGGCCCGTGGCTACTGGCATGCTCCTCAGGAAAGATGTGTGGCATTTTATCACACCTGAAGTGGAGACTTGGATCACGAAATTAAGAAACATTTCTCCACCCAGTGAGCAGCAATAAGATTTACATCTTGGTGTCAGATGTGTCTCAGAATTTTAGCCAACCTGGCAATTCCTTGGAGTTGAAATTTAAGCTGTCAAGATACCTTTTTCAGTGTCTGGTCTAACTAGTCCTGTGTCAGAGAGGGCTGATGGGGGAAGTCCTGTGTATATGTCAATAAAGCACTGTTGGCCAATAGGGAAGCAAGACAGGTGGGACTAGGAGTCCAGGAGGACTCTGGGAAGGAGAAACACAGGGAGTTATGATGTAGCCCGCCAGAGAAATAAGATGTCCAGAACTTTGCTCTGGTAAGAGAAAGACGTACATTAACAATTATGGGGTAAATACTTAAGTCAGAGCTAGCCAGTAAGAAACAAGCAAGGCCAACAGCTTCATAATTAATACAGCCTCCTGTGTGTTTATTTGGGACTGATGCAGCTCTGGAACCAGGCTGGCGGGACAGCTTCTCTCTACAGAGGGCTATTGGTGATATTAGTGCTGCCCCTGCTCCCCTGCTCCCCCAGTGCACTGCGGGGGCCCTTGGTCTCAACACCGACAGCCTTCGGGGCACAGCAGGTCTTCGTTGTTGCAGTGAGTTTTGTGCCACACTACTGACAAGAAGGATGTTATTGTAGGGATAGATTTTTTTTATGAGGCAGGGTTTCTTTGTATTGTTTTGGAGGCTATCAGTCCAGCCCGGCCTCGAACTCACAAAGATCCACCTGCCTCTGCCTCCCGAGTGCTGGGATTAAAGGCGTGCGCCACCACCGCCCGGCTTAGATATTATTTTTTAAAGCCCACTGACCATGAAAATTTGGGTATTTCTACTTCTCTGCTTTTTTTTTTAAAGTAATCCTATATGAACACTAATACAACTTTTATGTGGACAGGGCATGTGGTTTTTTATTTCCCTTTGAACCTATCTCTAAGATTAAAACGATCAGGTCACATGGCCACTCTATGTTTAACATCTACATTTTAACATTTTGGGAAACTTTTAAACTCTTTTTCAAAGTTACTGGGCCTCCTTAGAATCCCACTAGCAATATGTCAGGACCATTTTTAAGTTGAGTGGGCTGTTTTTTTTTTTGTCAAGCTTAACATTCTTTATCATTTCTGGATAAAAGCCTGTGTCATGTAAAGTGTTTTCTCCCTGGTGTGGGAAAATCCATAGAAATAGAAGATGCTGGACTTCCGGGAGGTGCGGGGGATGGGAATAACTTCTGGCTGATATACAGTTTCTTTTTGTAATGTCAAACAAGTTCTAAAATTGTTGAAAAGGTTGCACCACTCTTAAAATATACTAAAATCCCTTTAAGTTATGTAATTTACAGTGGAAATTTTTGTGGTGTCTGACTGGTATCTCCATAAAGATTTTTGTAACTGAACATTTCAGAAGTGGCAGGAATAGAATTTAAATTCAAGTCTGTCAAACACCAGTCTGTGTTGCACGTGGGCAGTCCTTTGGATCTGAACATCCTAAAAGGGCACTTGTGTTCAGAGGTTGGTACCTAGGTTGTGGCACTACTGGAAGGTTCTGGAACCTGTAGGAGGTTGTATCAAGTGAAAAGAAATTAGGCTGTGGGTATATGCCCTTGAAAGGGTAGCCTGGCTCTTCACTTTCTTTTCTAAGGTTTATTTTATTGCCATTATTTATGGAGTAATCAAGTCAGGGTGAGAGGCATAGTTGCTCCTTCTCACTCTTGAAGCTCTGAAGCAGACAGCCTCCTTCACTTGCCATAGGCCAAAAATCAGCATGGTCAACTGACCATGGGCTAGGACCTCTAACACCATGAACTCAACCAAAGCTTTCCCCTCGGTAAGTTGATTATATGGGATAATTTGTCATGGTAACACAGAGGAGAGAGGATTGCATTGGATGGGAAAAGTACAGAATAGATATGGGATACAGATACAGCAAGGTGCTTACAGAACTCCTTGTGAAGACAGATCAGCCCTATGGTGGTGCCACACACCTTTAATCCTGGCATTTGGGAGGTAGAGGCAGGTGGATTTCTGTAAGTTCAAAGTCAGCTTAGTCTACATATTGAGTTCCAGGCCAGCTAGAGTTACATGGTGAGATTCTAAAAAAAATCAAAACAAAAACAAAGCTAGAGCAAGATTATACTATGTTTATTTACATGGCCTCTTCATTGGTCAAAAATTGACAGAAAGATTAGATTTATTGAAAAACAATAAAGATATGGGAAACAAAACTTAAAGAATGGAACAAGAAAAAAGTAACCCTTATACACTGCACTGAGAATGTAGACTAAGCAACCCCAATGGAAATCAGTATGGAGAGTCCTCAAAAAAATTGGGCACAGAACTGCTACATAACACTTATAAGTATATGTTCAAGGAGTCTAAGTCATCATACTAGAGAGATTCTTGCAATTTTAAGCTTATTGCAGAGCTATTTACAAAAGCCAAAGCGAGAGACCAGCCTGGATGTCCATCTAGGCCAAGGGTAAAGAAAATGTGATATATGTACACAGTGAAGCTTTTTTCAGTTGTAATACTAATGGTGTGATTTTAGAGGAAATAGTTGCAGCTGAGATTGTCATGCTAAGTTAAAGAAGTCAGATTCAGAAGAACAAATGTTTATCTTTCATATGCAAGAAAAAAGTGTGTGTGTGTGTGTGTAAGTTTATAAAAGAGATGATCTTGGGGGAAAAGAATCTAAAGGATTGCATAAAGGGAACAAAAGGGTAATAAGAAGGGAAGAAATACAAATACTACAAGTTTTCACTCAAATGTGCAATAGCAATTTAAGTATGTGCAAATTCAAATATATATTTAAATGTATCGTGCATGTGGACATGAGAGCAGAGGAGGGTACTTGAAGGACAGTAGGGATCAAAGAAGGAGAGAAGTGGGGACAGGCAGCGCAGTGGGAGGAGCTACATAATATAAATGTATGACACTGTGAGAATGTGGTAATGAAATCCACTATTCTGCATACCAACAAAATTATTTTTTGGCCGGGCATTGGTGGTGAACGCCTTTAATCCCAGCACTCGGGAGGCAGAGGCAGGCAGATTTCTGTGAATTCCAGGCCAACCTGGTCTACAGAGCTAGTTCTAGGACAGCCTCCAAAACAATACGGAGAAACCCTGTCTCAAAAGACCGAAAAAAATTTTTGAAAGAATGCTACTAAGAAATCATATAACTCAAGTAATGCCAAATAATGATGTATCCAATAAGGAGCCTGGGTTCAGACAGTTTTGTGGGTTAATTACACTAAGCATTAGAAAAATAAGCTAATGCTAAGTTTTCTTAGACTCTTCCAAAAAGCAGAAGCAGGTGTATTCCCAACTTTACTTTCTTACTCCAAGAGGGAAGAATCAGGGCACAGTCACAATCGCCAAAGCAAAATCAAGGTCTTACAATGTGAAAACCTCCATGTCTGACATCTGGAACTCATTCATGATCTTCTGGGCTCCAAGGGGCTTGTGCAACCATTCACAGCACACACAGCTTGAACTGTAGACTGAGGCTAGATCAACTCCACACCTGCTGCTGTCCTTAACGATCATCCTATGGCACTGGGGCCTCCAAAATGCTGGGATCCCTACTGTAACTATGCAGCACCTTCACCAATACCTCTCCTGGGCTCTCTTCAGAGACTCTGACCCCACCACATAGGGCCAGCCTCAATGTCTCCCCATAACTTGCTTAAATCCCTGGGCATCTACTACAGCTGAGGCTTCAACTTCACCAGTGGCTTCTCCTGGCCTTTCATAGTGTCAGGCATCAGCTTCTCTCTGTCACCCCGCACTCCTTCACCACCTGAGTGACTTTCATATTGCCAAGTCTGGCTGCCAGGATGAGATTCTGCCTTGGCCCCCTTTGGACAGCAACTTCTGTGTGCTGACCCTGAAGAAATACATCCCAGAAGATTTCACCTCAATGATGTTGGTCTCTTCTTAAGTACAGCTGATTCTTCAGCCCCAGCTGACCTGTGTCAATTGGCCCAACAAAGCAAAGGTTTCACCTTAGCTGTTCTTGAATCAAAATACCACACAAATGGCTTGGATAGAGCCCTCGCTTCCTTCTGAATCGTCATAAAACATCATCTGCACTGCTCTGAGAATTATTTTCTGGGTTCTCCCAACAGACCATTAAGCACCAACTATGACACTCAGTGGCTTTTCTAGCTCAAAGTCCAAAACCAGGTCTGTCACAGCAATGCCTCATGATCCTGCTACCAATCTGTCTCAGTTAAAGTATCTACTGCTGTGATGAACACCATGACCAAAAACAACTTGAAAAGAAAAACCACATTTATTTCATCTTACCGGTTGTAGTCCATCATCCAGGGAAGTCAGGGCAGGAACTCAAGGCAGGGAGGGATCTGGAGACAGGAACTGAAGACATGGAGAAAAGCTACTCACTGGCGTGTTTCCCATGGCTTGCTCATCCTGCTTTCTTATATAACCCAGGATCACCTGCACAGGAGTGGGCCCTCTGACACCAATAACTAATTAAGAAAATGCCCCACAGGCTTGTTCCCAGGCCAGTCTGGTAAGGATGTCTGCTCACTTGAAATTTCCCAAGCTGGGTCCAGTTGGGAAAACACTAGTCAGCATATGCTACCAAATGGAATGCATTTCAGAAATCAGCACTGAATTCTGAGTCAGATTTGGTTTCAGAACTGAAGGATTCTCTATCAGTTTCAGACAAGACTAGAATTTAAGGAGGCTTTGGGATTAGTCCACAGTTCCACACAGAATCACCTTCAAAACCATTTATAAAAAGAAGTCAGAGGGTGTCATATGTCGAGCTCCCCTCACTCACATCGAAGGATGTATGAGCAATGCTGACCCTGGAAGTAATTCCAGAGAGCAACTTGCTAAAGAAATTGCCATCCGAGTCAGTAGTCTAAACAGAGTTTGATGATTTAGAGTCCACGTTCACAGAAAATGAGACCTCAGAACAAACAGGACAAAATCACTGACACTAAGTTCAATGCTTAGAAGGTACCTACACAGCACCTATTTCACCAGAAGTTGTTATTCTCTGAAGCTAGAATACTGGGGCTGGAGACAGATTTCACCTGCATTTACTGACTTTACTCTTGACTGTAACTGGCAAATCTAGCTGTTCGAAATCATCAAACGGTCACATTTGTTTCAGTCTTTCTGGAAATTTACATGTCTGCAAAAACAGTAGATCAAACCTTCCACTGATGAGAAATGAAATCAAGGAGCTGGTAATATGTACAAAAGACACCACACAACTCCATGGGCTCAGCCTGGCTTCCAACATAACAGTGATGAAAACAAACTTAGAAATCTTTTTTCCCATCAGTCATCATAATAATGATTGAATCTGGCAAAATACATCAATTTATGTTAAAACCTTAAAGTGAAAGTAATGAAGAACAAGAAAAATATACACCATTTAAAGAATCTTCCCTCATATACTGACTTTTTAATTAACACAAATATCATGCATATTTACGAGGAGCTGTGCAATATTTCATCTCAAGTATTTATTGTGGAATGTTCAAATCAGCATAAACATCTGTTTTCCCAAACATTTATCACTTGTCCGTGACGAAAATATTCACTTATCTCCTGCTCTAACTTTTCTGGACATATACAGTATATTTTTATTTATAATTACCCCACTGTGAAACTGAACAAAACTTATTTCTCCTGGCAGCAACTGAGTGTACACTGAGCAAACATTCCACATCCGGGGCCTCCTGCTACTCTCTGGTTCTCCCCACATCCTCTAAAAACTACTCATGTGGTTCTTGTCTTCTGTGCCTGATTTATTTCATTTAGCATGTCTTCCATGCCCTCCATCTTGTAGAAAGATAGAATTTCCTTCATTTTTGAATTTTAGTGCTTAATACTATATATGTGTGTGTGTGTGTGTGTGAGATAGATAGAGAGAGAGAGAGAGAGAGAGAGAGAGAGAGAGAGAGAGAGAGACTTTATTCATTCCCCTACTGACAAACATTTGGATTGTTTGCATGTCTTATCTATTATGAATAATGCTTCCATGAACATGGGAATGCCAATGTGTCTTTTGAGTTCTTCAGTAATTTTTGGATATATACCTGATGCAGAATTGCTGATCTGTTTTTAATGTTTTGAGGACACTCCATAGCGTTTCTCATAGTGGCTACATGATTTTACATTTTTACTAACAGACCATGAGTTCCTAAGTTTCTGCATTCTTGCCAGCACACACCTTTTCATACTTACCATAGCTACACTAACATGTGTGAGATGGTATCTTACTGTGGTTTTGATTTACATTTCCCCACATTAATGTTGAACATATATTTTCTGACCATCTGTATGTCTTCTCAAGTCCTCTGCTGAGTTGCAGGAGTCTCTTATTTTAGAAATGCATCCTCTCTCAAAATCATGGTTTGCACAAGCTGGAGAGACGGCTCAGAAGTTAAGCACATCATTGTTCATGCAGAGGACTTGGGTTTGGTTCCCAACATCCACAGACGCTTAACCTTCTGCAACTCCAGTTCCAGGGGATCTGAAGCTCTCTTCTGGGCTCTGCAGACACAAGCCATGAAAATGGTGCACAGACTCCCTGCCCTGTATGAGTTCCTGCCCTTTTTCCTCCAATGATGGACTATGATGTGGAAGTGTAAGCCAAATAAACCCTTTCCTCCCCAACTTGCTTTTGGTTATGGTGTTCCATCATAACCTAACTAAGATAGAGCCACTGATGTTTTACAATGTGTTATTTAATCTCTACATTTTGTAAATATCCCCATATTATTAATTTCTAGTTAATAACTCTGTGGTCGGGAACATGCTTTAAATATTCTAAAATTTGTGAAGACTTCTTTTGTTTGCTTTGAATGTGTATTCCGTCCTGGAGAAGTTCCATGTGAGGAGAATATATGTTAATCTGGTGATGGATAAGGGAGTCTGCATTTGGGACTGGAGAGATGGTTGAGTGGTTAAACTGTCTACTGCTCTTCCAGAGGACCTGAGTTCATATTAGGTAGCTTACAACTGCCTGTAGCTCTAGGTCCAAGGGATGACACTATGTTCTGGTCTCCATGGGCACCTGTACTTTCATGTGATCACAACCATGCATGTGCACACGTGCACGCGCGCACACGCACACACACACACACTTTTTAAAAATGAAATCTTTAAAAACTTTACATATCTATTTAGTTTTATTTTATGTCTGTGGGTGTTCTGTCTACTTGTATGTCTGTGCACCACGCGAATGTGGAGACAGGAGAGGGCAATTGGAGTTCCAGATGGCTGCTGGTCACCATGTGGATGCTGGGAATCAAACCTGGGTCCTGTGGAAGAGCAGTCAGTGCTTTTGACTGTTGAACCATCTCTCTAGATCCCAAATAAATCTTTTTAAAAGAACATTGTGTTATTTGTACATTAAGTCTATTTTTTTCTATAGTATGGTTCAAGTCTGGTATTTCCTTGTTTATTTTCTGTTTCCCCCCAGAATGTTGAAGGTGAGGCTTTTAAGAAGTATCTCTTCAGTGTTTTATAAAATGCAGACAGGGTTTATTTTAATAAATTGAAATTCTAGACACAGAAATGACTGTCACAAAGATCAAAGTTTGTGCTTATAGTTCCTGGGGACAGAAAACAGCCTACACAGAGGGCCATATGAGAAGGCTCCAGGGTTAGTCAGAAGCAGAAGGCAAACAAAAGCCTTTACAGAGTCTCTATAGAAAGGACGGGTGCTGTAGATAAGCAGATTAAGTAGCTTCGGGGTTAATTTAACTAGTTTGAACAATTTCAACGGGCTGCAGGGTGAAAGGATGCTCCTGGTCATGGAGATAAGATGCTCCTAGTTGCAGTAAGAGAATGCTCCTGGTTATGGTGAGAGGATGCTCCTGGTTATGGAGAGAGAATGCTTCTGGTCATGGTTAGAAGATGCTCCAGGTTGTGGGGAAAGGGAGGCTCCTGGTCATGAAAAGAAGATGCTCCTTGTCATGGAAAGAGGATGCTCCTGGTCATGATGAGAGGATGCTCCTGGTTGTGGGGAATGAGATGTATCTGATCATGGTGGCAAGGTGTTCCTGCTCATTTGATATCTGTCCCTAGAATAGTTATATTGGGGAAATAATGTCTTGACAGATGCAAACTCAAAGAGAGTTTTAGAAGTGATGGGAGTGGATTGGGGCTTTGAACTAGCTTATTTGAATAACAACTGAACATTTGTAGATGCATCTTTTAACTGTCTTTAGGAACTGGTTATTCCTAACAGAAGATTCTCATAGATCAGCAAATCAAGGGCATCAAAACATCAGAAAATAAAGAAAACTAACATGTATGATTGTGACATAAATTGATTCATTCATTGATTTGTTGCATCTTAACTCAAGCACCAGTGAGCCAAAAAGGAGTTTCTTCTGCTGGAGGCTACTGGGTACAGCCATAACTGAGATTGTTCTCAGGGCTTGGAAACACTGATGTAACCTCCTCCTCACTTCTCATATCTCTGAAATCTCTGCCTATGATGATGTCTTCAAAGAGTGACTCATGGAGTGCCTGCATCAGAATTACCTAAGGACTTATTAAAAATTCAGATTCTAGATCCCTACATACATCCAGCACAATGAATTTTTTGAAAAATATCTGAGTGAATTTTTTGGACAATATAAGTTCTTGAAACGTTAAAAGGTTTAGAAAAGACATAGCTCCACTGTAAAAGTTTGCCTCATCTGAAGGGCAGGACTGGCCACATGATAGGATGCACGCAAGCACATGCAGATATCGAGTCATTAATCACTACAGTGTGTGCTGCTGGATTGTGTTGTCAATTCTCCTTCCTTGGCCACCTCGCTGGCCTCAGCATTCCCTCCTGTCTTTCTTGATGTACCTGTTCCTTATCGAGTTCAAATGACTGAAGTTTACAAACAGAAAGTTAAGGCTGTGAATTAGCTGCGAGTCCGAGCTCAGAAGCCTCTGTCTTTCTGTGTGTGTCTGTCTCTATCTGTCTCTCTCTGCCTCTCTGTCTCCATCTCTCTGTCTCTGTCTCTCTCTCCAGAGTTTATCTGTATAGCCCCGACCTCTAACTCAGAGATCGCCTGCCTACCTCTGACTCCCGAGTGTTGGGATTAAAGGCATGTGCCACCACAGCTGTCACAGGAGTCTAAATCTGAATCCTAAGAAGCAACTAATGATGACATGCCTATAATAGGAGTCTCAATTTGAAGCCAAAAGCAATTGATGATTAAAAAAAGCCTAATCCAACCTGCTGTAGTAGCCTCCATTACTTGCCTAAAGAGAGGGTGAGATTTTTCTTGGATAAGGGCTGGCACTAAATTCTCCTAAAACCATTTATAATTATCTCATGAATCAAAGGATAAGACCAAGAAATAATTTTAAATTGGATTCTAGCTAGTAGTAATCTTTATGAATCTCATACCTGTTTGGTAATTACTTGGCTATGACAATTAATAT